ATCAATGGAGAAAAGATTAAAGTTATCAAGGACTTCATTCTTCTTGGATCAACTATCAACATTCGTGGAAGCAGCAGTCAAGAGATCAGACAACGGATTGCATTAGGCATATCTGCTGCACAGGAACTTTTAGACTAAGGTGCACCTGACCTGAGTCATGGTATTTTCAATAATCTCATATGGATGCAAAAGCTGGACAGTGAATAATGAAGATCGTGGAAGAATTGATGCCTTTGAATTGTGGTGTTGGAGGAGAATACTAAAAGTGCCATGGACTGCCAAAAGAACCAATAGATCCATTTTGGAAGAAGTGCAGCCAGAGTGCTTCTTGGAGGTCAAGATGGCTAAACTTCATCTCTCATACTTTGGACATATTGTCAGGAGGGAACAGTTGCTGGAGAAGGATGTCATGATGTGTAAGGTGGAGGGTCAGGGAAAAGAGGAAGACCCCCAACGAGATGGATTGGCCAGGTGGCATCATTGATGGCTTCAAGTGTGGCATCGGTAGTGAGGATTGGACATTATTTCATTCTGCTGTGCATGGGGTCGCTATGAGTCGGTTCCGACTCAATGGCACATGACAACAACATTGGGTTTATTGGGTGCATAGATATTTATTTTGGTTATGTCCTGTTTTTTGACTGACTATTTAATCATGATATAATGTCCTTCTTTGTCTATTATGCTGATTTTTACCTTAAAGTCTATTTTATCAGAAATCAATATTGCCACTTCTGCTTGTTTTTGATTGCCTTGATATAATCTTTCCGTTCTTTGATTTTTGGTGTATTTCTGTCCTGTGGCTAATGTGTACCTTGTAGCAAGCATATTGATGAGACCTGTTTTCTTATTCATTCTGCTACTTGAATCTTGATTGATGCATTTAATCCATTTACATTTAGTGTAATTTTGCAATGGCATGAATTGATTGCTTTCATTTTGTTGTGCATTTTTTTGTGATGCTGCTGGCTTCTTTGTTCTTCATAGTTTTCTGTACTGAGTTAATTATATTTAAGAGTTTTCTTGTTATTTTCATCATTAATGTTGTTTTATAGTTAACTAAATCTTTGTAATTTTCCTTTTTGCTATTTTTGATACAGTTTATTGATATTCTTTGAAGCTACCATATACTTTGCTAATATATTCCATTTTAAAACAATCTCTTCTATCTTCAAATCCAATTGACTTCCTCTTCATTTGGAAGCTCTGTAGCTCCAATTTCCTCCTTTTATTTTGTAATTTTGCAATTGCTGTTACAAACTGATATGTTTTGTTCCCCATTTTCAGTCTTATAGATTTGTTTTATATTGGAAACTTCTATATGGGTGAATTCTGGGTGGTATTTTCATGTATGTTAATCTCAGGTTGATGGGTACTGTTGTTGGTTCTTTGTCCAAAGAACTCCCCTTGGTATTTTTTGCAGTTTGTCTGATTTTTTACAAATTCTTACAAAATGTCTAGTTCTTAAGTTGTTGTCTCTCCAGTCATTTTGGTTGTTTGAAGCTTGTTCTAGAATAGATTACTCAGGAGTTGTTGAAATAGTGGAAGTGGCCTTTACATTTGAAAGTAATTTTTAGCTAGTTATATAATCCTTGCCTCAAATGTATTTTGATTATCTTAGTGTGTTGTTCTGTTGTTTTCTTTAAAGTGTTTTATAACAGAGCCTTGTATTTTCTGAGCTTTTTGGTTCTGTCTCTCTTACTCACTTTGATTTAGGTCTTTGTTTTCATTCTGACAAACTTATCATCTATTTACAGCAGTTTCTACTTTCTCCCTCTTGGTATAGGACTTTGTACCTAAATAGATTATTGGATACTTAGACCCTTCTTCTGATTGGATTCATCTTTAGAAAGGAATTACTCTTTTCTTAGCCATGTTTAGTAGCATCTTCCCAGATTGTTTTGGGATTTCTTGTTTTACTAAAGTCCCCAAATACTTCTTTTCCATTACAGCTCACTCTTTGTGAAGGGTGACAAATATCCTGTGGAAATTGGCCTTATATGCTGTTTAAAAAAACCCAGCAACCTACTGATGTATCAAGTAGGTTCTGGTTTGTAGTGATCCTATATAGGTTTCGGAGACAGTAAATCTTTACAGGAACAAATAGCCTCATCTTTCTCCTGCAGAGTGGCTGGTGGGTTTAAATTGCAACCTCGTGGTTAGCAACCCAATGCCTAACCCACAGCACCACTAGGGCTGCTTCTAGACACCTGCTATTCGAACTCTGACTGAAAAATGTCAGACTGTTCTGAAGCCAGACTGGTAATTCTTTTACCCCAGTGTGCTCTGTCATCATCATTTTTTACCTAGAATTCCCTTTAGTTTGAGCTTTTCAGAATATCTATAGGATTTTATTGACTCCTGGTGTGATGCTATAGGATCAGCACTGAACTGCAAACTACCAGGTGATCAGTTCAAACCCACTAGTTGCTGCTTGGAAACCCTATACAGGGTCACTATGAGTTGGAATCGACTTAATGGCACTTAACAACAAGAAGATAGGATTACATATAAATGATGATGCTGTCTTAGTCTCTGAAAAAAGACAGCAAGATTGGTAGAGGGTCAGTGAAAAAGAAGTCCCTCAACAAGATGGACTGACACAGTGGCTGCAATAATGGGCTCAATCATAACATTTGTGACGATGGTGCAGAATGGGGCAACATTTTCTTCTTTTGTGCATAGGTTTCCAATGAGTTGGAATTAATTTGAAAGCACCTAAAAACAAACCAACAACAGCAGCACTGTTTTGTTGACAAAAAGATCTGGGCTGATGGCAGAATTGAACTACATGATGGAAGAGCTAAAAAAAATATTTTAGGTTTCCTGGAGCTAAAGGAGCTTTATCAGTTACTGTTGTTAATTGCTGTCAAGGCAGTTCCAACTCATCGGGCTTCTGAGTATCGACTGGTGGGTCTGAACCCCCGATCTTGCAGTTAGAAGTCCAGTGCTTATCCTACAGTACCACACCAGTACTCTTATAAGTTACTAGAAGTTATAATTAATGAGAGGAGCCTTGGTGATATAATTAATGGGTTATGCGTTGGCCTGGTAACCAACCACAAGGTCAGCAGTTTGAACCTACTAGTCACACTCTACAGGAGAAAGATGAGGCTTTCTGCTCCACACAATAAAACAATTAGCAAATTATTTTTTAAAATATATACCTGAACATTGCCCACATTGTTCATTTACTTGGCTAAGCATGAGAAAGCTATGGCATATAAGTAGAAAAAGTGGAAAAGGGTACAAATATTCTAGGTCAGTACTCCCCAAAATAAATTATAGATTGGAGATAGTGGTGAATGCAGTGCATGCCTACATCAACACCAATTCTGTTGCAAATTAGATTTGTTTCTTGGCTTCCAGGTTGTTTGTTGATGGTTGGAGGAGACAATGACAACAAAGGCAGAGAACATGATATTGGAACTTAGGTGTTCCTGTGTTCTTTTAAAACACGGTACAACTTTTGATATGTATTTAACATTAAAAGACAGATTCAACTCCAGGCCTTGCCACTAACAAGATTCCAACTCAGAAAGGCTGGTGTTTATGAGAACCTGATGAAATAATCGAGACAAAATCAATCCAGAGGGAGTATAAGCCTTACAATACTACTGATATTGACAATAACATAATCCTTGAAAGATTGATGAAGCAACTAATTCACCCTGATGAAGTTGTGTCTCCTTTGAGTAGTGTAATAATCATTGATGTTGTTGAGTGCCGTTGAGTCAGTTCTGACCCATAGCAACCCTGTATAGGGTTTCCAAGGAGCTGCTGGTGAGCTTGAACCACCAACCTTGTGGTTCAAACCGACTTTGTAGTCCAGTGCATTAACCCACAGCTCCACACCTTAGTGTGTTCAAAAAAGATTTCTGGCTCTCCACCTTATGCATGCATGTTGGGATCCCTTGTAGGTGGGCGAGGTCATGAGATTAGTTGTGGGCAAGAGTGGTATAGGGCACTCTGACTCAGAATATTTGATTGTTAGTGTAAAATTCTCAAGAGTTTTTCTCAGTTTCTGACAGTTATGAGCAATGTTTAGCACGATGTCTGCTCCATTAGTTTAGGTTCCTGAATGTCTAAAATGAGCAGCACTCTTACACTCTTACCCTTTTCTGTGATAGACATGCAATGAGAAGTAAATCTCTGGTTTTCAAAGCCTCAAAGTTTGAGGTTATTTGATTGCACAGCATAACTGAGTTCATCTTGACTGGTACATTGCTCTTTCCTGGATCTAAAGGGCAAGTCAGTGAGTATCTTATCATCTGTAGAAAAGAAGAATGAAGAGGCGAGGGAAAAGGAGACAAGAACTGAGAACACACACCATCATCACATTTTATTGGGGGTGGGATGGGGAGAGGGCACCCTGCTTTGTAGATTCTTAATCTTGCTAGTCCTATTCTCCCTGTTATTAAATGATTCTGAAGACTTTAGCCTCACAGGGCTTTTCATTGTCCTCAAATACATTCTAACATGTATTGCCTCTAACTGCTTAGGTGATTTTCACTATTTGAAATATTCTGCCCATTTTCTTCATTGCTTGCTTGTACCTTCATCTCTCAAAGTTCAGTGCATCCTCCAGGATGATCTTTAGGCATCTTGCTCCAAGAAGTTTTCCTAGTTCTCCACCAAGCCTAAGCAATTTATTCTTCTTTTGAACACTAATAGAACATTATGACTTCTTTAGTACTGACATAGTCAGATGTTTAGAAGAGTTATTTAAAAGATAACTTTATTTTACTTTATGTTGCTAATCAATTATTTTCCTGAAATCTAACTTCCAAGCATTACCAAGCCTGGGATGGAATATATTACTAGTCAAGGTTGTAGATAGAAACAAAGGACTCTGACTCCCAGGCAAACGCTCTTATTGCTACCCAACATTACTTCTTATGATCTCTTTGGATGCCGTGTGGAAAATAAGCAAGAGGGAAGGATAACATGTCAGCTTCTTAGGTCATCTCCCAATTTTGACATCCCATCATTTTGTTTTTCTATGAGTGGATTCTGTTCCTTAACTTCCCCAAACCTCTCTTCATATCTTTGTTCCGCAGGCTGTAGATGAAAGGGTTCAACATGGGTGTCACCACTGTGTACACAACTGTGGCTACTCGGTCCTTTACAACTGAATACATGGACAGGGGCCTAAAGTAGACATAGATGATACTCCCATAGAACAGGGACACTACGGTGAGGTGGGAGCCACAAGTAGAGAAGGCCTTCCACTTCCCAGCTGCAGAGGGGATTCTGAGCACGGTGACGATTATCCGCACGTAGGAGAAGAGGGTACACAGGAAAGGGGTCGCGATGACAGCCAGGGTCTCAGTCATGACCACAATCTGGCTAGAGGATGTGTCTGAACAAGACAACTTTAGCACAGGCTGTGTGTCACAAAAAAAGTGCTTAATGACATGGGAGGCACAGAAAGACAGGCGAGACATAAGCAGCACCCGGAGCAAGGCATGCAGGTGAGATATGGTGCAAGACACTAGCAACATGAGAAGGCAACGCCGTGGGTTCATGACTACATCATAATGGAAGGGGTTGCAGATGGCCACCAGTCGGTCTATGGCCATGGAGGCCAGCAGGTAGCTGTCGGTATTCCCGAAGGCCATGAAAAAGTACATCTGGACTAGGCAGCCCACGTAGGAAATCATCTTTGTCTCTGATAGTAAGTTCACCAGCATCTTGGGAACAATGACTGTTGTGAAGCAGATGTCCATGAAGGATAAGTTGCTGAGGAAAAAGTACATAGGGGTATGGAGCCTGGAGTCAGAGTGGATAGCTAGGATGATGAGCACATTTCCCACCAGGGTGACCAGGTACATGATGAGGAAGATGGCAAAGAGAGGCTTCTGCAGCTGAGGGTTGGAGGAGAGGCCCAGAAGGATGAAGCCTGATGCACTGCTGTTGTAATTCTTTATTTCCATGTCTCCAGACTTCCTGGATGGTGTTTACAGGAGCAGTGGGGAGGATGAAAATATACTGTGACCAATACAGTCTCCTTCCTAACTTTCAACCTATATAAAGTCCCATTTTTATTTGTTAGAGTTATTAAAAACGTTTACATCAAGAAACTACAGAGAATCAGTGCATCTAATTCAGCAAAGGGAGAATAAAAAAACAATTTCCTACATGTTTCCCATGTATTCATAGGAACTTTCATGTGCCCTAATTTGTCTAAGTTCTTCTCAATTCTCTCTCTCTTTCTTCTGTTGTTGAAACTTTTAACTTTTAATTTTGAAATAATTTGAGACCGACATTAAAGCTGAAAACTGAGAGTTTTCTTAAACTCTTTACTCAACTTCTTCTAATTTTAATGTCTTATGTAACTGCAATATAGTGATCAAAACACTGCAATTAAGATTGATACATTACTATGACGTAAATTTACAAACCTTACTTGCATTTCACTAGTTTTTCTCTAATGTCCTTTTTCTGTTCCAGAATGCCAAATTGCCTTGAATTGTCATTTCTCCTTAGTCTCCTCAAGTTTGTGATTTCCCTCTGTCTTTTCTTGTCTTTCATGAACTTGACATTTTTCAATAGTACTGATGAGCTATTTTGTAGAATGTTCCTCTTTTTGGGCTTTCTGTGATCACACTGAGGTTTTACATCTTGGCAAGAATAGCACAAAAGTGATGTATCCTTATTAGTGCATCATACCAGGAGGCATTTGATATTTAATTGTCTTATCAATTGATTAAAATGGAGTCTACCAGATTGCTCCAGCATACATGAAGCATTAATCTCTATCTTCTTGCCTCTTCTCTTGTTTGCTCTCAGCAGATATCTTTTCTTTTTGCTTCACAGAGAACAGAAGCTTTTGAATGGCATTGACCCTGCTTCCCACTACCAGACAAGCTCCTGTAGGCTGCCATCTGTTCCCTTTTCTATCATCTAGTAGCAGACCTGCTCTTTCCTAGTTCTGAGCCAGGATTGGCTATATGATTTGTGAAGTCAAGTGAAAAATGTAAATGAGGGGCCCCTTGTAACCAAAAAATGATCAAAGCTCTCTGCTACTAACCGAAAGATTGATGGCTTGAATCCATTGGTGCTCTGTGGGAGAAATATGCAGCAATCTGCCTTGGTAAACATGTACAGCGCTGGAAACTCTATGAGGCAGTCCTACTTTGTCCCAAGGGTTTCCATGAGATGGAATTGACTCTACTGCAGTGGATTTGGTTTGTTACAAAATTATTGATAATTTCAAGATAATGAAGAAGAGCACTAAACAAGTGCAGGACCATGTGTGGCTGTATTGGACCTATGCTATCAAGCCAGACTGACCTAGGCTTTGGAATTTTATCCTTTTACATCAGCAGCCTCAAATCCTTTGTCCTCTTTTCTTGTCAGCCTGTGTCTCCTTCACTCATCTATCCGATTTGCACTGTCTTTAAATATGCACAGATACCTCCAGTTAGAGAAAGTGGCTCCCTTCCTGCTCACTCAGTATAATTTACCAGTGTCCTCAGTGACCTTGTGGTTGTTGTTAGGTGCCATCGAGTTGGTACCCACTCATAGTGACCTTATGCACAGCAGAACAAAACACTGCCTGATCCTGAGCCAACCTCACTACTGTT